GGGGGGGGTTACTGGATTTCACTGTTGCAAGGGGGCTGAATGACTGGTTTTCTCTCCTACGGGACAGAACTAATCTTTTGTCCTTAGCCTGGTTTCTAAATCAGTCTGAAATTGGACAGAAGTGGTGAACTCCTCTTTCCTACCCAGGCCAAGATTCGCTCTCCCTCTCTTACTCCTCGTACCCTTCCAACTTTACCCAACTTTTGTTCTCCTGCCCCTCCAACTTTAATACTTTTGTAGTGTTGAATTTGGATAGATAAAGTAGGCTCCATATGGTATTTCGTAATGACTAATGTCTTTGCTTTTGAAAATTCTTGGTATTAGCTAGAGATCAGACATAAGAATTGATGGAACCATCACACGTTCGGATTGTACTTGGAAGCTTAGAGCCCGTTTGGCTTAGCTGATTTAGAGTAGCTGATAAGCATTAGGTGTTGAAAAGCACTTTTAAGTGCTGAAGCTGATTTAAAAAATAAGCAGTTACGTGTTTGGATAAAAGTGCTGAAATTAATAATATGCAGCTAAAGAACTGGGTATACGAAGAGTTTTGTTTTAAAAAGAAGTATTTTAAGGATAGAATAGTAAATATTTTGGTCAAACTTAAACTGCTTATAAGCTGAAATTTGATAAGTTGGGGGAGACCAACTTATGGCTTTTGGCTTATTTTTGGCTTATAAGCACTTAACTTATAAGCACTTTTAATTTTACCAAACACGTAGATAAGCCAAAAAGTGCTTATAAGCCAGTTTGACCAGCTTATAAGCTTAGCCAAACACCCTCTTAGCCTTCCCAAATAGCATATCGCACATCATACGTCAGTCATGCAAGTCTCTCATCCCAGCTTGCTTTGGCTCAAGAGCACTTGATGATTGGGCACTAATTAGGTACTTCAGAGTTCAGATAAGCTCTGCTTTTGGTCAATCTAATTTGCAGCCCACATTCAACAAACTAAACTAATTTCAATGGTCAAAATTCTCAACGACATAAGTAGCAGTTGACTAGTTCAGATGACGATACACTCATTGCACAGCGTTAAATACTTCTTCAGGTGAAGGCATAATCAGCAAACTGTTGATAACTTTACATGTAACTGTTAATCAATCAAACTCACAACACAAAAATAGCAAAGAACTTACATATTGGCTGATTAACACGATTGCAATATCTTCTCTTGTGGTGAATTCCTTAAAAGCATCTTCAATCTGCTTCACCGTTGTTTCTAAACCATAAGGCTAACAATCAAGATTACTGGATTTTAAAAATAATTGAATAACATCATATAAAGTAAAGTTCCAGCACTCAAAAGAAGACCCTTACATTTTATTCTTCCATCCTTTCCTCAGCTGTTAGTTTATATGTGAGCTACTAATTGAAAATAAATGTAGATGAAATACTTGTAACCAAATGAACATAAGTAGTTCCTTCATACACCCCCTCTCTACTAACCGTTTTGTCTGGGATCAATATTAACAATAAATCTATTTTATGCACTTTACTGGTATCGTTTAAGGAATTATCAGAGGTCATTATTGTACCAAGTGGTGGAAGTGAGGTCATTATTTTACCAAGTGGAGGAAGTGCATAATCAGATAAGACGTGTACAGATTCTCAGACAGACGTAAGCATCTTGGTTAATGTTGCAAATAGCAATGGCTATTTTCTCCCTTCAATTTTACCACACATTACCCTTACTACTGGCACCACGAGTCAAGGGCATAAGCCAAACTAAACACAAGAGAGCAATGACCCCCATTTTGGTAATGAAATGTAGACCCTAGCAAGGAGGAGCTCAGATAGACAAATTTTAGCATTAATTGCATAACTAACCACTCTTGGATCTAATGGTCAGAAGACCCTGATCGTTAACCGAGCGTCCGAGCCCTTGTTCACAATTGTGACACAACGAAAATCAAAGGCAAATAATTGCCAATATATACTCAGGTTAACTTTTTGGTTTCATTTTGTGAAATATCTTAGGAAGGAGGGGTTAATGGAGAGAACTAGTTGTCTTCTTCCTAACGTGATAACATACTTGATATAAATGATTTACAAGATACACATACTTATAGGTGTGAAAATATAGTAGAAAATACAAAAAAATGTGTGAACAAAAGAAATAATTGTGCGTTGTGCATTTATTGCACCACTTGACTACATTTCATATGAAAATAATGCGTTTATTACTGCCGTCATATTCAAGGTTTACCCCGTGATAATAAATATTGTCAAGGCGCACAATGAATATACATCTTCCTTCATTTATTACGTTCACCCTTATTTTGTATTTTACGAATGCTTTCAGCACTTAATGCTTATCAGCTACTTTAAATCAGCTAATCCATACGGGCTCTAACTCACACGTGGGAAGAGAAAATAGAACATACCAATCCTAGACGTCAAAGTTCTATTAACACAAATACAAGGGCATATGGTCTTCAATCACGTTACTACTACGCAACATGGATCTCATTTTGGTGAAGAGTGGAGGCTACAACATAGAAGTTGAAAGCGGTTATCCACACCAGGTCTTGTTTGCAAGAGAATACAAGGGAACATTTGTTATCAGAGCACTTTGTTTCCGAGCACATTACCAAAATACTAAAAACACATTTTATGTAGAGCAACATGAAATGGGTATGGATGACTGTCCCTGGTAAACAGTTTCAGCAATTTCAGGGTAATTTGTTAATGCAAATCATCAAGCAAAGTTATAGTCCATCATGAAACTGTCATTTAGAAAGAAAGTGAATGCTACAGCAGAGAAAGTAAAAAGAACAATGCCTAGTGATAGAAATCAGAAATTTTGAAGTCGAAACATACTTGAATCCACAATGAGGTAATTTGTTTTCCTCCTCAAATCAACATTGCCAACTCCAGCCAGTAAAAATCCAGTAATTGTATCCTGCACTAGAAAAACAAAAGATATTGAGATTACTTGATAGGAGTAAAGATATCTTTGATATTTGAATTGGAAACATATCAAGAGGAAGAGATATAACAGGATCCCAGTGGTGTAATCAAATCATACTATTTCTTCAAATTGCATTTGCCTGTTTGTGTCGGATACACCATTTTAATAGCTGATATTAACCACTTAAAGAATGACTGGTTCAGGCTAAAGCATAAAAAGATGTAAACTTGCCACTATCCTTTATCACTTAGGCTATGAACTAGACAGAATCAATGGTCTGGCTGGTAAAAGCTATCCCTTAAGCATTTAATCACTTGGTTGATTATTCCTTCGGGGATATCTGATAATATCACATTAATAGAAGAAGATTAGCATGGCTAGAAAGCATATCGCAGATTTGACTCTTCCAAAATTACAAGACAGATCATCATTGATAAGCCGAAAAATATCCTAGAGAAAGAGAAACAAGAGTCAGCAAGCAACAGCTCATTCACACAACCCGTTCATGAGTATTTCTTAGGACGACGATATCATGACAACTTTATAGTACCTTGATCCATGCATCAGTCTTTCTTTTCGCTGGTGTTTTTAGTTCAACTTTTACCATTTCATTCTTTTATCTGGTTTAAGTGGTAGATTGACATACTTATTTAGTCTAGCACTTCCCATTCATTAATTCCTGCTGCATATCCACTATTTTCACCTTAACAGTATGCTAACAAAAGGCTCCAAAGGATTTCATGATGTAAATTGACTTTATGAGAAACTTCAACCTAGATAATTTTCAAAAAGGGACATTTAATTTTGCTTAATTTTTTTTCAACAGAATGTTGTTTCCATATGTGTAACATAGATACTTAAAATGGGTAAAGCTCAACCACACAAAAGCTTCAGATGTGAACCCTGCATGTACTCCATTAGTCTTATTAGAAAACAACGAAAAAACTGTTAAAGCTCAGTCTTCTATTTTTTTCCTTCTTTTTTATTATTATTATTTTTTTTCTGTTTTTGATAACCGAGAAACCCTTGAGGGCCAGTTGTGCACAGTTCGAACCTAGGTGGATAATGGGCGTGCCCCTCTACCATTCTCCACTTAAATACCATTTCAAACTCGTGAAGTGCACCTAACCCACACATCAATTGTTGTGCTCTTACCACTAGCCCAAAGCCCTGGGACCAGTGTTGTCAAAGGCAAAAGGCTCTAAAAAGTGCTCTATGTCTATTTGGGCTTTAAGCGCAAAGCGCACTTAAAGTGTGGGCTTTAGTTAAAAAAGGCGCAATGAAGGAAATAAATAAACGTTTGTATGTAATTCAAGAACAAAGTAACATATTCATTCATAATGTTTCCCTTAGCAGCTAATACACTTATTTCTGATTATAATTGTTGTTTAGTGCCGCTTGATTCAAGAGAGAATTCATGGGCAATGAGGTGGACGCATTAGTGCCTTGCCTTACACTGAAGCGCAACTAAAGCGAGGCGAAGCCCCCTCCTTGAGCTTTTATGAGCTTTAGGGCTTAAGCGCGCCTTAAATGAGCCTTTGACAACACTGCCTGGGACAATAAATCTTGGTTATTGGTACAAAGAAAATAAGCAGATTATGTGAATTCTAAACATATAAAGAACAAGTGCTAATTCAAGTTAATGTAAATACCTCATCAGCAATCATAGCAATAAGTGCAGAGTTGCTGGTTTTAATTGGAGCTCGGTTAGCCATTTAACACTACAACAACGTTTCTGCAAATAACATAACATCACCCAATTAACAAACATTTAAAAGCATGAATCTTGAACACATAAAACAAATTCAGATTTCAAATTGAATTCTAAATAGTTAAGAAAAAGTCATCAAACCAATCAAAATCTTTACAATTCTAATAATACACAAAGTTTGATGAAACCCCACATAAGATTTTCCTATTTTTACATTCTTAGAATTGTTATGCAATTAACTATCATGAAATAATAAGATCCCATGAAAATTTATATATGAAAGAGGAAGCTTCATACGCGTAATTGAAGAGGGTTGAAGCTTACCTTCAAGTTTTATTCAGGCTTAATAGAGGAATACAATGGCGAGAGACAGATCGAGTAATACTGTCAGATGTCTAGTCGAATGATTGGAAGTTGAAACTTTTAGAATGGGTGTAAGACACAGCCTAATAGTTCTGGACACGTTTACAGAAGGATAATTTTTTAAAGTTTACGGACCGTAGGGCTAAATATGGCCATAGAATAATAGAGGTTAAATGTAAATAATATATGACAGAGGGGTATATTTAGCTCTTTTCCCTTTCCAAAAATACCCACATCCTTTGCTGCATTCACATTACTTCCTCGTTTAAAAGTAACACAACTAATTAATTTTTAATAATTGTGAAATATTACCATACACAAACGAAATTTAATACACCTAAAGAAATCAAACAAGTGATCTCATTTTTGAAAGCTCAATGTATGATTGAGAAGTGATATTAGGCCTTATTTGTTTGTACTTAATGGATGTTTGAATCTTACTCATTCTAATCTCAGATATTAAGTACGCTTGTTTTTTAAGTCTAGGGGCAGCCCGGTGCACTAAGCTCCCGCTATGCGCAAGATTCGGGGAAGGGCCAGACCACAAGGGTCTATTGTGTGTTTTTTAAGTCTAAATCTTAATTATTCAGATCTTAATAATTAAGTGCGTTTATTTTTCTTATTTCTCAACCACTTAATGAGTCTAAATAGGTCTTATTGATTAAGATCTATAACAGGGACTTAATTTCATTAGAAGCTATCATCCACATTCACTACTAAGCGTCGCCACCGCTTGCCATTATCACCTACCACCATGCACCATCCAACCACCATATACTCAACTACCACCACCGACCACCAAACTCAAACACCGTCACTGACCATCACCATCCTCAACCATAGCTGTCACTGCTATCATTATCGACTACCATTACCCCAGACCCTACCATTATTGATTACCACCATCCACCCACCCCATCGTTATCAACTAATGCCACTACCATCATCCTCAATCACAACCACCCACCCAACCACCTCAACTACTACAATCAATTACCCCACCACCATCATCAACCATAACCGCCATTGTCCACCATAATAAACTATCACCACCCACGACCACCTTTCTCAACCATAACCACCACTACCAATCACCACTAGCTACAACCTAGAACCATCACCATCAATCAAAACCACCACCAACCACCACCTCCAGTCGGCATCCATAAGCGTCACCGTCAACCATAGGGACAAAGCTACATTCACTTATGGGTGGTCAATTGACCACCCTTCGTCGAAAAATTACACGGTATATATAGGTAAAATATTAAGTTTTAGAGGTATATAACATATATTGAACACCCTTTATCAGTAAATTTTTCACCTCGTTCAAGTTTGAACACCCTTAGAAATATTTCTAGCTTCGCCACTGGCCAACCATCACCACCACCAACTACCATATTATTTTTAATAGAATATTAAATTAATTAATATTTTATTTGAAATTTTTATTTATTAATTTTTAAATAAGGATAAATTTTATACATTTCAGATGTTGAAAATCAAACAGTCTTAATTATTTATTATTCAGATATTAATACATATCTTAAATGTTCAGATGTGTATTTAGATTTAGACGTTTTAATCTTATTACACATCTTAATATCCAGATGTGCGTTCAAATTCAAACATCTTAATATTTAAAAAATAAATGAGGCCTTAGTATATTTGTCTTTAATCTGAGATACTAGTATAGAGGTTCCTTCCATAGATTCGGTACCAATAGTGAGAGAGTTTTAGGAGGTATCCCTTATGAATTTACGGGGTATGCTATCGGATAGGGATATTGATTTTTGTATTAACTTGGTACCGGGCACTCAGTCCATATTTGTTCTATCATACTGCATTGCTCCATTTGAGTTGTAGTAGCATTTACAAGAGTTGCTGGATAAGGGATTTATTAGACCGAGTGTTTCTCCTAGGGTTGCACCTGTGTTGTTTTGTGAAGAAGAAGAAGATGGTACTATAAGGATGCGTTAATTATAGTGTCACCACCCAAAATCCATTAAAGGTCGTGATGGCGCCGGATACCGCTGTCAGGCAAGCCAACATTAAATAGTTAATTTAATTCTCTTTCTAATATGTTTGAAATCATAAATTCTTTCAATTTGACTAGTAACAGATGAACTTTACAAAATAATAATGATATTTTCCAATCTCAATAATGAATATCCCCTAATCATTCCAGAACCCGGTATCACAAGTGCATGAGCAATTACTAGGATTTAAAATACAATACAATAACTGTTCGGAATACAAATTTGGGTAGAAAAGAAAATACAAGTACTCTGAAGGAGACTCTGCTAGCTGCGGATCGTCTCATAAGATGCAGCTCACCTAAGTCCCCGTATCACCCATGACGGTGCGTTACAAAGGCATTGAACACACATGTGCATGTACAACAAAATGTACAGCAAGTGTAGTATGAGTACGAAAACAACGCGTACCTAGTAAGTATCCCGTCTAACCTCGAAGAAGTAGTGACGAGAGGTCGACTTCGACACTTACTAGTGGTCCAATAATATAATAATCTGAAATTCTAATTAGGCATGATATACAACAATAACCTCAAGACAAGAAATAACTGAACAAGTCTTCCCCATAATTAAGAGCTTAAATCACTTCCTTCCTTTAAAACATGTGATCACACAAACAATGAACTTATATCAATTACAAAAAAGGAACTTCCAGTTCTATTATCACACACAAATACCACCGAGGACGTTCGACCCGATCCAACATAAATGTAAATTGTGCACTGTCGAGGGTCGAACGGCGCGAACCATAGATGCATCTATTTACATGCGACGCGATCAAACATAAATTTAAGGAGTTTACCCCGCTCGCGAATCATACATGCGACGCAGTGACACATAGATTTATTAAGTTATTATAATATTCTTCTATTCTTTTCAAAATACGAAGTTCAGCTGAAAACTTTTAAGTTCCCAAATTTTTCCTCAATTTCAACTTGTTTCAAAACATTTATTAAGCTAACTCAATCTCGTTTCTTCTCAAGGAAAACAATAAACATAAATCAACAACAATATCAACTAGGCATGATGTAAGCCTAAAACTACCCGGATATAGGCATAGCTAGTAGCGTACGTAGCCCCCACAAATAGAAGCACATAATAATTTAATTCACCTATGGGGTTAATTCCCTTTTACAAGGTTAGAAAGGAGACTTACCTCGCTCCGAAGTTCCATATTCGGCTCCCAAGCCCTTCCGACGACTCAAACCGATGCCCAACGCTCCAAAACTAGTCAATAAATGTGCAAATCAATGAAAATACACTCAAATACTCATAACACTTCAATTTACAATAATTCCCAACTCCGCTCGGAAAGTCGATAAAATCATCCTCGGACCCACATGCCCGGATTCCGAAATTTTTTAAAGATAAATATTACCCATAACCTTACGAACTCAAATATATAATTTATTCCCAATTCCATATCCAATTTCGTTGTCAAAATCCAAAAATACCAATTTCTAGGTTTCTGCCAAAACCTCACAATTTCTACAACTTTCCATGTTCAAATCCTTATACAAACCATGTATTTAACTTGCAATAGGTGGGAATCACTTACCTTGACATAGATGACGAAAATCTCCCTTCCAAGAGCTCCAAAAATCGCCCAACCAATTGAGAACTGGAGGGAAAATGGCAAAATCCCGTCTTTAAAATGACACTGCCTAGCTCTGCCCTTCCTCGTGTTCGCGATCATAGCCTCGCGTTCGCAAAGGCTCTCAGTCTCCCCTACTTCACATTCATGGTTGGAGCTCCGCGTTCGCGAAGGCCAATGGCTCTAGGTCCCCCAGGCCTCCTTCCCTCTTCGCGTTCGCATAGCCTTGGCCGCGTTCGTGAAGGCTTACCCAGCTCCTGCCTTGCGTTTGTGTCCACTGCCTCGCGTTCGCGAAGGACAAATCCTAGCCGCCTCAATGTTCCTCTTTGCGAACGCGGGACTCCCTTCGTGTTCGCGAAGAAGGAAACTAGATACGGCAACAGCAACAACAAATCACCCAATTTGGTCTGGAAACCACCCCAAAACACACCCGAGGCCCCCGGGACCCCGTCCAATCACACCAACTAGTCCCGTAAGATAACACGGACCTGCTCGAGGCCAGAAATCACATCAAACAACACTATAACCATGAATCGCACTCCAATTCAAGCTTAATGAACTTTAGAATTTCAATCTCCTACATTCGATGCCGAAACCTATCAAATCACGTCCGATTGACCTCAAATTTTGCACACGGGTCACATTCAACATTATTAACCTACTCTAACTTTCGGAGTCGAAATCCGACCCCGATATCAAAAACTCCACTTCCAGTCAAACTCCTCAAAAACCTATAAATTTCTAACTTTAGCCAAATGACTCCAAAATGTCCCACGGGCCTCCGAATCCACTTCCGGACGCGCTCCCAACACCAGAATCACCATACGGAGCTATTCCCAGGCTCGGAATCCCAAACGGACATCCAAAACATTGAAATGTACTGCAACCCAATTTTATGAAATTCTTCCCAAAATGCTAACTTGCACAATAGGCGCCGAAATGCTCCTGGGTCATCCAAAACCCGATCCGGACATACGCTCAAGTCAAAATCATCATACGAACCTGTTGTAACCTTCAAATTCCAATTCCGAGGTCGTTTACTAAAAAATTCAACCTTAGTCAATTCTTCCAACTTAAAGCTTCCGAAATGAGAATTCTCTTTCAAAATTGACTCCATACTTCCCAAATTTCTATTCCGACCATGCGTACGAGTCATAATACCTGAAGTGAAGCTGCTCATGGCCTCAAACCGCCGAACGACGTGCTAGAGCTTAAAACGACCGATCGGGTCGTTACATTCTCTCTCACTTAAACATACGTTCGTCCTCAAACGTGCTAAGAACTGCTCTGGAGTTGTCTGAAATCACTGTTTAACACCTTGTGCACCAACCCGTGCTACCACAACTCAGCTGAGCACATTTGCTCGAGAAAATCTGAAGATTCCCCTTTTGTTTAGTCAATTTAGCCTTAGAGCCAAATTCCAACATCCGAAATTCTCTACCAAGCTTGTTTCTAACATACGAACATCGCATCAATCACTACACG